ACAATGCGTTAAGCAATAAGCAATAGCCTTCATTCTTTTGTATATTTTTATACAAAGTCAGCTTATTGCCCCCACAAACTGGGTCCTCATTTCACCTACCTTAGAAAGGATGGAAGGCTGAGTCAACCTTGAGCCTTGGAGAGATTCGAACCAGCAGAAATTGCAGGCAGCTGTGTTAATAACAGGGTGCACTAAACCACTGTACTATCAAGGCTCTTATGAGTGATTAAGGCTCTAAGACAGGTCAGCCAAAGGATGTCACTGGGTTGGATCCAGACTTAATCAGGTTTTAGATAGACAGAGTGGAAAGAAAATGGTGCAAATTGACCATAAGGAATTTTAAATCTCAAGTTGCCCTTAGGTCGATCACTGAACTTGCTGTTTTGTATTATGTGTTGTCCTTTCCTCTGTGTCAACCCTGATTCTTGTGGTTTAGCCTTGAGGTAAACATCCCCCCACCGAAGAAAGGAATGGGAAAAACATATTTAAATGGGTAGAGTATTATCACACATTTGTAAAAATTGTAGTGTATTGAGCAAAGAGCAAATGCATTTAGCAGCTGCTTAAAATCTAGTTCATATCTTCTTCTCTTGATAGAGTCAAACGAAACATGCCATGTTTATCTAAGAGTAAATTGACCAGGTGGTCTTTTTTGAGTTCTCAGTGGACTGAGTTGACTCAATAGACAATAACCATAATAAGGTGGCCATGAATTTAAGGCAGTCCCTTGACTCACAAGCCGAAACCAGTACAATGGTTAGCTTTCCTAGATGGTCAAGCTAGAGTTATGAACACCAGCTGAAATAAGACCTGCATATGTTCAACCCAAAACATGTATGATAATGTAGAGCCATATCTCTGTAGGCCTACTCATATTGTCCAGGAGATCAAATTAGTTCATGATAATTGAATGTATAGCTACTAATTAAAATCAATCATTGCAGAATAAAGAACCCATTTGTAAAATGTAAACTAGAAATCTACACACACACACACACACACACACACACACACACACACACACACATATTTAATTCCTCTAAGACCAGAAAAAATATTTGGTGTCAAACTTGATCCCAAAGGAAGACATTGGCAATGCAAGCTAAATAATAATTGGGGAGGGTTTGTACATCAATAGAAATATTTTTCAAGAGGGTTTTATTTTGTATCAAAAAAATTATTATGAAATTAAATTAACATTATCTCTTTTTTAAAAATTGTGTACATTTTAATGTTGGCAACGAACCTTTTGAAATGGATGATGAAGAAAATTCCTTTGTTGTGTTAGGTGAAGGAGAAGATTGGTAGAGTGTGTGTCTATTTGTGTGCGTTTGTTTGGTTGTCAGCGAGTGTCTGGCTGAAGTTGTGACCTGACCTGAGGTGGAAGACTTGAAAGATTCTTGAACTGAGTTATAATTCAAGTTCAGGTCTGCTCTTAACAAAACTCCTTAAAAAGACTTTTCTGTATGAGTCATTGGAAGGGAAGGTTTCCTTCAGAACCACAATTATTGAAGTAAGATTTTACTTTTTGATGTTTTGCTTTGTGAATAGAATTATGGGACAAGATTAATTGCACACAGTAAGAGCTTTACATGAAGAGCTGTGTGTGATAACATTAAACTTCTAAGTCTGTCACATGAGGGGAAAGCTGTTAGGTTTAATGAATAAATGTAATGCCTAAAATGCCTCAGCTAATTTTTTTTTTAATTCCTTTGCTAGCGATCTTTATTGAAGAGAAAACACACACACACACACATGATATTTTATATTTTATCTGTCGGTTGGGGTAGTAGCAATTTTGTATTCCTTCGCCTTGTTAATCTTCTGGTTCCACCGAAGTAAACAATAGATTTCTTAAATTAAAAATTATGTGCTCCAGAACATGCATCTAAAGATTAAAAAAAGAAAAAAACAACAAGGCTGTAAACATTTATGACTGAGACAAACTAGATTGTTCAAACATTGCCATGATGCGTCCTGGATAGCAATATGGCAGCGATATCAGTTAGAATGCAAACAAGCTTTTTAAATGATGCGGCCCTTCCATTTCAGCTGGAGAATCTACTCTGTACCATCTGCCTATCAGATGGTTAGGAAGCAGGGCTGCGTATTAATGCCACATGCTGCCTTCTCCTTCTAATGGTTAGATTCATATTGCTAATGGCATTGTCGATGAAATTTGTGTGACGCTGGAGTGATGAGATATTTATAAAGTGGCTTGTCTCACTGAATAATCAGCAGGAAAAATGCTAGACATAAACAGATTATCAATTTCGGGGATATTAATGATAACTGCAACAGGGTAGCTTTCTTCACCGTTATTTACAGTCTTCCCTTCGTGTCGCCTCCCACACCAATACCACTCAGACTAATTTAAAAAAAAAAAAGGAATTTCAAATTCCCTTTGCAAATAACTTTGTTTTTAAAGTCAAATTCTGAATGCACCATGATGAAATCCTTTCGTTTACGTAATTTGTCTCCTTTATTATTTTTTAATAAATACCTCAGGGTGGTGAACATATTCAACACACTTTTCCCTCCTATTTTCCCCACAACAACAACCTTAAGTAAATAGTGAGATTTAGACATAGGCAGGGGTGAAATCCATCAGGTTCTGACAGGTTCTGGAGAACCAGTAGCGGAAATTTTGAGCAGTTCGGAGAACTGGCAAAAAACACCTCTGCCCCCAGAGTGGGGTGGGAATGGAGATTTTGCAATATCCTTTCCCCAAGAATAGGGAGGGAATGGGGATTTTGCAGTATCCTTCCCCTGCCACATCCACCAAGCCACGCCCACAGAACCGGTAGTAAAAAAAAAATGGATTTCACCACTGGACATAGGAGCAAATGAGCGGCATTGTGGCTTAGTGGTGAAGACGTGGTCTTCCACTCAGAAGGTTGAGAGTTCAATCCTAAGTAGCAGCAGATATTTCTCTATTACGGAGCAAAGAGAAAATATCTGCTGTGAACTCCACATAGGCATCAGGAAGGGCATCCGAGCAGTAAACACTCAGCTCCATTCAGCTGCCCCAACTCTACCCCGAATAAAGAATCATAAAAAGGGAAATATAGGGGCAAATAGCTGGGATAGTGAGAGTGTCTTCCCTCTTTCTTTTCTGAAAAGATTGCATAAATATTTCACCTCATGTACTTCTCTATTCTCCATTAATGCTATATGGTATCTCCAGTTTCTGAATTATTGTTTTCGGTTATGACATCATCATAGCCTCTATTGTCCTGATCCTTTTTCAGAGGTAGGTTGAGTGTGAGCTGGGCACTCTGGACATTGTAGTTCTCATACCTCAGAACCGAACCTTATTTTTTAAAAAAAATAGTTCAGTCTTTCTGTTCACAAATCAGATCTCAAAGAAGGATAGAATTCTGGGTTGGTCTAATAGTACATTCTACCTGGTTGCAATTCATAAGACACCGCTTAGAACAGACTCTCTCAATGCTCAATTTCTGAAATACGAATTTCCACCTCAGCCCTGAACTACATTTTAGGGCTACTTCCAGGTAAGGGCTTGTTCTTGTGGGCATCATTAAATTTGGACACTACTCTCGATCCAGGCCACTACATCCACAAGTAATGTGGAACTCAATCCCTCCTTTCCCAGAATTATTAGTTTTTTTCTGAATTTGGTGAGGGGATTTCTGAGGGTTTTGCTCATTTTTAAAAAATTATGTTAAAGTTTGTATTGCATGTGAATTCTAATGTATTTCAGTGTTCCTGATTTCTAGCAGCTGGGGAAAAAGGGTAATCTTGTGTTAGACGGCATATCACAGACCTTAATGTTGGAATAAGAGAGAAGGGAAAAGAACAGAAAGAGCCTAAACAAATGGATTATCTTATACATGACATCGTTTACAACAAACAAAAAACAAATCCTTTCCTTTCATTTCCGAGTATAGTCTAGGCCAGGGGTGTCAAACTCGATTTCATTGAGGGTCGCATCAGGGTTGTGTTTGACCTTGGAGAGCCAGGTGGGAGTGGCCAGGGTGGGCATGGCCATTTTGATGCCACTCGTGTGATCAAATGCCATTTTTGCTAGTAGCTTGTTTTCCTAGCGCTCTGCAGCGTGGCCCTTCCAGGCTCCTTTTTTAGTTGCGACAGCTCTTGCAGCCCTCTGCCGGTAAAAACAGAACTTGGGAGGGCCACATGCAGCCCTCCCCAGCTCCATTTTCACTGGCAGAGGCACTGCGGGCCAGTCTTTCACTGTTTCCAGGGTGGCCCTACAGGCCAGATCTAAGCACCCCATGGACTGGATCCAGTGGTGAAATCCAATTTATTTTACTACCGGTTCTGTGGGCGTGGCTTGGTGGGCATGGTGTGACTTGGTGGGTGTGGCTGGGGAAGGATACTACAAAATCCCCATTCCCTCCCCACTCATGGGGGGATGGATATTGCAAAATCTCAATTCCCACCCCACTCTGGGGCCAGACACGTGGTATTTGCCGGTTCTCCGAACTACTCAAAATTTCTGCTACCGGTTCTCCAGAACCTGTCAGAACCTGCTGGATTTCACCCTTGGCTGGATCCGGCCCACGGGCCTTGAATTTGACACCCCTGGTCTAGGAGATATATCTTCTTTTGTATGTGGAGCTCAGAACAGTGCCTACCACTTGTCAAGTAAAAACACGAGAGCCCAAATCTAGATTTAATTCTTGAGAACATCTCTTGAAATCAATGAAATTAGAGATAGCTAAATTTACTTTATCCTAACAAAAAATGACTGTCTCCATGATTTCAACTGGTAGAGCTAAGCAGGATTGAAGCTAATCGACTAAAAACACAAGGAGGCCATTTTACACACCTTATTTGGCCATGGGATCCTTGAGAAGCTTGCTGTCACTTCCAGATGATGGTTTTTCCTCCGCCCTTTTCTGCCAACACGTTTGTTCCTTGAGAACTTGATCCTGATTTCCTGGAAAGAGGGTGATGTCAAAGGGAGAGCGGATAGAAGTTGTGATTTCACGGTTGTTATTCCCCTTTTGTTGTAGGTCTGACAGCTGCGGCTGCTGCTGCGGCCGCGGCCACCAATGCGGCCATCGCGGAAGCAATGAAGGTGAAAAAAATTAAATTAGAAGCAATGTCAAATTATCATCCCAATAATAACCAGCACGCAGCAGAGTCTGAAAACGGGGACCTAAATTCTGCTGTGGGTAAGTTTTTGATCTAAAAGACACAATTAATTTTGTTTCTACCTGGAAACCGCTTATGGACTTTGTTCTTGAGATGGAAAAAAATATAAAACTTTGATTTTGGGTTTTGCCAATTAGACAGGTTTTTTTGTAAAAAGCAAAAAGTTGAGTTTTATCCTATTACCTTCTTCTACTGCACCAAAAGGAGTCAGAAATCAATGCTTTTCTTTTCCTTTCCTCCTTCACTTCCTCCTACACTTTTCTCTCTTGCCCTTTTTGTCTCTTATTTTCTTTGTACGTCTTTATTTGATATTTTGATCAACTAATAAAACTTTTGAAAGCAGAAGTTTCTGATCGGAAAGAGACTTGTTACAAAGATCCTTGCTTTTAAAAAGGCAGGAGAAAATTACAGCTTAATTTCTTTTTCTTTGTTTTCCTTTCAGCCTGTTTTTTTTTTAATACTGTTATTTTTCCAAGTTTTTTTCCCCCACATTAACACACTCTAAATATACTACCTGAAAATGCACTGTTCAGTAAAGCTGTCAGAACATCCATCCATCCATCCTATGGAAATAATCAACAGCTTATTTATTTCCAGGGTAACATTTTTTAAAAAATGTGGGATTCATTGTTCCTGTTAAATTGAGTTAAACTGGACCAATTAAAATATAGAATTCAGATTCTGTTTGTAGAAGACAAAATCCTGCCTGTTTAAATCCCAGGTCAGCTGAACAAGTCCTGCCTATCCTAAATGCTCCAGGTTGACTGAACAAAATTGAATTAGTGGCTATTTTGATCATACGGGCGCCTAGAATTATGTTGTTGTTTTTCCCACTCCGTGTTTCATATTTGGAAATTTTGACAAACACTTTTGGTCTCCTAAATTGTGGGATTCACAAGATGTGGCTTCTCCATGCAGTCAATTTCTTTTTCTTAAATATTCCTTTAATGACCATTGACTTTTAAGGGCATTTCTTTCTAATGGGTGCTTTCTGCTCTCTGAGATAAATTAGTGAGTGAACGGAAAGCTGAATTTGAATCCTGTTTAACTGCTGTTCAAGGCAGAGGTTGCATAGACGTAAACCAGAGATGACAATCTAATATATACTTTTTCTATTCTGCAAATTTTTGAGGTTATTCTTAAGGGTGACAGCTTGACAACTTTTTTGTTCTGGATCTCCCTGTACATATTTATTATTTAACTCCTATCCAGGAACAAAAGGAGCACATATGCCCATGTCAGCAGATTTCAAGCAATTTTTTCCCTCTTTGCTGTTAATATTTCAGCCATAGAAAATGCTACAGGTCAACTGAACAAAATTGCCATAACATGCCTAGCCTCGGGGATGGGTGAAGGAACAAGGACAACTAACAACATTCCCCCAAAAAAATTACTTAAACATGAGGGAAAAGGCAAGGATGGAAACTTAAGATGTTTAGTTCAACTTTCTTTAATCAACGAAGAAATGAAAAGGAGTGAAAAGCATCTACTGTTTTTTTCTAACCTGCAGAACAAAAACAGTTGCTTAAAACACATTGTGTTTTATTGTGGAGGACTGTTAGAAAGTATTTGGATTCTAGTCAGAGACCAAAGTCATAATATTAAGTAGAGTAGTTTTCTTTATCAATAAGTATTTTATATTTTGTGGGATATGGAGAGATGATGGGGAAATATGCATATGATGAATGTGGGTCTCGCTGTATATGTCTAGGATTGAAAAGGGGTGCTGTGCCCCATATGCAGAGAAGAGCAACAAAGATGGTTAGGGGTCTGGAGGCTAAAAAACATGAAGAATGAGGATGTCAGGTTTCGAGGTCGTCTCAAATAAATTGCATTTCAAACAAAGTCTTTGAAGAAAACTCCCATTTATTAAGCACGACATTCAAAGTCCGACTCCATCGCAGCCAACACTGACTTCCAGACCCAAAACCCTCCCTTTCCGTTCCCCACTCCTCTGCACTCATTGGCCATCTTCCAAGTCACTCTACCCCTAATCTACTGCTCCAGCTCAAAGGAATTTCCCCCCTCCCATCCCATCTCCTAGGGGATATTATCTCCAGGGAAAATAAGTAGGTGAAAAGTCAAACGTCCCTTTCCAGATGCCTCCGCTTCTCCTTCTTATGTCAGCACTAGAGTAAATGCAGATTGAAGTGCTGACAGAGGAACTCGGTATGTCTAGTCTAGTGAAAAGAAGAACTAGGAGTGACAAAATAGCAGTGTTCCAATATCTCAGGGCTGCCACAAAGAAGAGGGGGGTCAACCTATTCTCCAAAGCAACCAAAGGTAGAAGAAGAAGCAATGGGTGGAAAGTAATCAAGGATAGAATTGACCTAGAACTAAGGAGAAATCTCCTGACAGTTAGAACAATTATTCAGTGGAACAACTTGCCTCCAGAAATGTTGGGTGCTCCATCACTAGAGGTTTTTAACAAGAGATTGGGCAACCATTTGTCCAGAATGTTATAGAGTCTCCTATTGGTCCAGGGGGTTGGACTAGAAGACCTCCAAGGTCCTTCCAATTCTGTATTTTGTAATGTGTAAGCCGACATGAAATACCTTCCATCTGCTTTGTAAGCAAGTCTTGGCTGCCCTGTAGGTGTGAAAAGGAAGAACCATTTGCTTCACTAGGAGAAAAAACATGGAGTCGCCACTTAATAAGTTAGAAAAGAATGCCTCTTTAGACATTCAGCTTCAATCCAGGAGCCCTCAGGCAGTCGCTATCATGACAAACTATTTTGTATCAAATTTATATTTGCTGATAAATAAAGGGAGACTAATATAGATCTATTTCAAGCTATTTAGCTCTCATCAGCTAGCCATACCCTTACTCGGATTCGAACTTGGGCTGCCTGCAGATTAAGCAGTTGTAGTAACCTCTGAGCCACAAGTTCTTCTCCCTTTATCAGCTGAGCCAGGGGATAGATTAAGTGTTTTTTTTTTCTGTTTTTTTTTTTTATTTTTTTCAAACAAAAACAACATAAAAACATCATCCTTTCAAACAATTACAGACAGTGTTTCGGTCAGTTAAAATCCTTTCGTGCTCCCAAAATCTTCAAGATATCAATATATGACACATGTTTCTTTTCCCTTAAAAAGAACCAAATTTTTACACATTTAATCTTAATTTCATTTCTGTGGTTTTTTTTTCTGTTGAAGCACCTGGTCTACCCCAATATTGGATAGCAACTGCTTGAGGGCTCCTGGATTGGAGCTGAAAGGTGAAAGGGAAGCAGTATGCTCCCTCCCGTATTGGTGCAGACTAGGTGTTTCGACAGAAAAACACTCTGTGTGTGTGTGTGTGTGTGTGTGTGTGTGTGTGTGTGTGAGAAATCTCACAAGGTCTCTTTTTGAGCAAGATTGCCAACCTGAAAGATGCCAGACATCACACAAGGTGCCAGAAAAGTCTTGTCAGTTTTTAGCCTTATTAAATAGTATCCCATAGGATAATACTACCTTGCCCAAGGTTTCACCATCCTGCATGGTGCCAGTGACTTTTTTTGGAAGGAAGGCAAAGCTCTGGTGTTTACTCCTGGTCAAATTCCAGTCTTAATTAAATTGTTGGACAAAGGTCCTACTGAAAGACTTAAAAGATAAAACTGAATGAGCATAGATTGATCTTTTTTGGTGACAGGTGGGGATACATCTATTCAAAATAAAGTTGAATTCAGGGACAGGTATAAAACCTCCATCACTACTTGGAGATGTTCTTAGAAAGGCTATTTATGTAAATATTATTGTTCAGGAGAGGCAACTTCCATTCTAGCTTTTTAATTGATCAGAAGACATCACTTAGTTGACCTTGGCTGGCCTTCAGGAGGTAAAGCAGGGTTAGTTCTGGTTTGTATTTGGATGGGAGACTTATCAAGACATTCCAACCCTGTAGACCCAAGTGGGAGGTTGCAAAAAGCACCTTGAGAAACATGAGCAGTGAATCTCTTTTGTACCTTGGCCAAAAAAAACCAACAACAGTGTAATAATCACCAGGAGTAGAACACAACTTGAAGGAGACTTCATGTTTCATGTCTTCATGCTTTATGTCTATGGAGATTCTCAGTCATCCAGGTCATGGTTGTCTCAAAGGTGCTTTTTCAAGAGGCAACTGGACTTTCTGGTACCAGAAAACCTCTTGAAAAATCACCTTTGGGTCTTCATGATTTAAGCTTCTTGAAGTCCATTCACTCTACCTGCTCAAACTACATCATAGTTTCTATTAGACTGTCCTGTATTATTTTATATTCCTTTGCAACTTGCATAATGAAGTCATTCTTATAAGCATGATATGCTTATATGGTGGTCCCATTCCTCCAGTAGTCCTGGGAATAAATCATAATAATGGACCTCAACTCAACTCTGAGTTACTCTTGTCATTGTAAGCATCAATCCATAAATGGGTCTTTTGCCAGAATGAGGATGCAGCTGCAAGGGCATTCAACTGCTTTAAGGAGCTTCCACAGATGCTGTGTGAATTCTCCTCTGTCTCCTGAAACCTTTTTTTTTTTTTTTTTGGCCTTAGAATCTGAAGTCTTGCCAACTGTATTATGCAAATAGTAATGGGGACCTAGAAGCATATCATGCATTCTGGTTCAGTGTTGGGAAACACTTTCTTATAGTAAGTTCAGCTCAACAGTGGAGCATGTTCAGATGGAAATTGAAATCCAGCTGTTGTTGAAGTCCAGTTTTCCTTATGAAAGGCTACATGAAGGGTAGAACTGGAATGGCGGAAGAATTGTGGGTCCAGAGCCATCTCAAAACTTGATACCTCTGACCTTTACAGAAAGTCCACCAATTGAGCAGACATACCACCACAATTGGGACTGGAGCTTCCATCGCTAAGCTTGTGGCTGTGAAATGAGTTGCCCCCAATTTTATTACTATTTCTTTCCAGGAGGCGTTAAGTGAACCACACGGTTATTAAACAAACCCAACTTCCCCCATTGACTTTGCTTGTCGGAAGCTGGCTGGGAAGGTCACAAGGGCAATCATTGGAGCCAGGAATACTGCAATCCTTGTAAAAGCACATG